GAGAACTCTGCACTCAGCTTCCTCTGGCAGTACTGAGGTGGCTGTGAGGTTCTTGGATTGCCTGACCCATGCCCTGGGAAGTCCCTCCAGCATTGCCCACTGGACCAGTGGTCCAGAGGTTCATTCAGCATCTTTGGAAGGAAGGAATGGAGCTTCCAGAATTAGTCATAGCAGGGTCTCTGGGTTGCTGGGCTCTACACTACCCTGGCTGTTGTTGAGTCTAAAAGTGTGGGCTATGGACTGACGCTTCTGGTATTGGAATCCTTTACAAAAGCAACTCTCGCTTTCCAGGCCTGCATGTCATACAATTCCCCCGTGAGTCCATGTGTGTCAACGCTCACAAATCACTGCTTTGCAAGAGGCCTCTTCCCACCCCTGCCCCTGCCCCGGCCCCGGCCCCAGGCCTGTCTGTACAGAGAACTCCACTCCTTCAGCTCCCTCTCTCACCATGCTCAAGGAGTGAGACTGCTGCTCCGCGAAGAACGAGGGATAGGCTCGTTCGCTTTTCCTCTTTCTTTTGAGGCAGACTTTTTCTGTAGCCCTGGCTGGCCCAGAACTCAGATCCACCTGTTTTTTTTTTTTTTTTTTTTTTTTTTTTTTTTTTTTTTTTTTTTTTGGTTTTTTCGAGACAAGGTTTCTCTGTGGTTTTGGAGCCTGTCCTGGAACTAGCTCTTGTAGACCAGGCTGGTCTCGAACTCACAGAGATCCGCCTGCCTCTGCCTCCCGAGTGCTGGGATTACAGGCGTGCGCCACCACCGCCCGGCTAGATCCACCTGTTTTTGTCTCTGCTGATATTAAAGGTGTGCACCACCATGCCCAGCAAGGCCATTTTCTTAGATTATATTAGCTTAGAAGATCCCATTTTCTTTTTCTTTCTTTTTGTTTTGGAGACAGGATTTCTCTGTGTAGCTCTGGCTATCCTGGAACTTGTTCTGAAAATTCAGCTGGCCTCAAACTCAGAGCTCCTCTTGCCTCTGCTTCTTGTGTGCTGGGATCAAAGGTGTGCGCCACCTCTTCTGCCTGGCATTCTCTCCACATAGTGCACCGGCCTAGGGGGATGAGCAGAGCGGGGAGCAGTTGAGAGGAACAGCTCAGCAAGCTCAGCAGGGTGGCGCTGTTCCAAATAAAGTCCGAAGGTCTGTGACTCATCTTGGTCTTCTGGCCTCAAACCTGGGATCCTGGGATGCCCACGGAGCCATATTCAGGCACAACCCTGAGCTATTAGCATAGGGAGAACCTGAACTCATATGCACACCTGCTCAAACGTGCAGGTTCCAATCTCAAGAAAGATGGAGATAATCGTACCCTGTCCTAATCCCAGACAGACTAGGAAATGAACATGTCAGTCGCAGGACCTAGAAGTGGAAGGCTTGAGAGGGCGCCAGGAGAAGTTGGACGAAAAGGAAGTGGCTTTAATAGATGGGAAGAAGGCCTTCCTGGTGGGTGGGACCGGCAAAGGAGATGCCTAGACTCCCGGATATCCTCTCTTAGGTGCCCAATTACCTGCCATCAGTGAGCTCCGCCATTGGTGGGGAGGTTCCCCAGCGCTATGTGTGGCGCTTCTGCATTGGCCTGCACTCGGCACCCCGCTTCTTGGTGGCCTTCGCCTATTGGAACCACTACCTCAGCTGTGCATCTCCGTGTCCGGGTTACCGCCTTCTCTGCCGCCTCAACTTCAGTCTCAACGTGGTAGAGAACCTCGCGCTGCTCGTGCTCACCTACGTCTCTTCCTCCGAGGACTTCAGTGGGTGCCAGACAAGGGAGGGGTGAAGGGCACGGGAAGGGGACGCAGCCCCCTTTCCTGCCTAAGGGTGAGGGTGGGGTCCATCCTCCTTTCTCCTTCCAGCCATCCATGAAAATGCTTTCATTGTGTTTATCGCGGCATCTCTCAGTTACATGCTCCTCACCTGCATTCTCTGGCGGCTGACCAAGAAGCACACAGTAAGTCAGGAGGTACGGTCTGCCCCTACTGGGCACTAGGAAGCCCAGAAGAAAATCAAGAACATTTGTCCTTAGGATGTGGGTAACGATGGGTGACAAATGACTTTCCATTTGGAACTCAGCAAAAGGGCATGGGGGCTTTGGGCTGAGACTTGGAGAAAAGTGGAGAATGGTTAACTTGTCCTGGCCAACCATTTGAGTAGTACTGGAGAATGCATAGAGGCTGGATATGGGGCCCAAATCACTGTCAGTGGACTGCTTTGTAAGAATCCCCAGCCATATGTATGGCCTTTCTTTGTCCCACTGTACCTGAAAGTGTTGGCTTGGTGGGTGAACTCCTTGCATCCTTCCTACTCTGTCCCACTGAAGTGAGAAGGGCAAGAGATAGCTTCATTATCCCCCAAATGCAAGGATGTAGACATGCTCATCATTTTCATTATCCCCCAAATGCAAGGATGTAGACATGCTCATCATTTTCATTATCCCCTAAATGCAAGGATGTAGACATGCTCATCATTTTCATTATCCCCCAAATGCAAGGATGTAGACATGCTCATCATTTTCATTATCCCCCAAATGCAGGGATGTAGACATGCTCATCATTTTCATTACCCCCTAAATGCAGGGATGTAGACATGCTCATCATTTTCATTATCCCCTAAATGCAAGGATGTAGACATGCTCATCATTTTCATTATCCCCCAAATGCAAGGATGTAGACATGCTCATCATTTTCATTATCCCCCAAATGCAGGGATGTAGACATGCTCATCATTTTCATTATCCCCTAAATGCAGGGATGTAGACATGCTCATCATTTTCATTACCCCCTAAATGCAGGGATGTAGACATGCTCATCATTTTCATTATCCCCTAAATGCAAGGATGTAGACATGCTCATCATTTTCATTACCCCCTAAATGCAGGGATGTAGACATGCTCATCATTTTCATTATCCCCTAAATGCAGGGATGTAGACATGCTCATCATTTTCATTACCCCCTAAATGCAGGGATGTAGACATGCTCATCATCTTCATTATCCCCTAAATGCAAGGATGTAGACATGCTCATCATTTTCGCTGCCCCTGCCTACACTCCCTTCCATGACCACTTTGGGATGCAAGAGGGAAGCCCCAGCCGTTAGGAACTGAGTCTAAGAGGGAAAGCCACCCACATATACCCAACAAGCTACAGGGTGATCAAGTAGTCCGTCCCCTAGGATCGCAAGTCCTACAGCTGGAAGCAGCGGCTCTTCATCATCAACTTCATCTCCTTCTTCTCGGCGCTGGCCGTCTACTTCAGGCACAACATGTACTGTGAGGCTGGAGGTGAGGCCAGGCTGGGATCTGGAAGTGCTCACAAGTGACCTCAGAGCAGCGGCGCTGGGTTTCTGGGGTTTTTGTAGTAGGCGGTGGTCTTGGGTACTGGCTGTCTCTGTGGTGGGCTGGTAATGTGATGATTAAGAAGTCACTAAGAGGGTAAACCAAGAGGCTCATTGTGCCCTGTTCCTTGTGCCCTCGTAACAGTGTATACCATCTTTGCCATCCTGGAGTACACCGTTGTCCTAACCAACATGGCGTTCCACATGACAGCCTGGTGGGACTTCGGGAACAAAGAGCTGCTAATAACCTCTCAGCCTGAGGAAAAGAGATTCTAAACCCTTCTCTGATGCTGGGAAGAGAACCCACTGCCCAGAAACACGAAGCCACTCTGGCCTCCCTATGCCCATGTCCTCTCTGGACCCTTCTCGAGCTGAGGACTAGCGGAGAAGAGCAAGAGCGGGATTGACGAGGCTGACCCAGCCCCACAGGGGTTGTCAAGTGACATCACTGTAAACTGAAAGCTCCACCACCTGGTGCTTAAAAAAAAAAAAAAAGTCCTGAGGATCATGACCATTATTCAGTTTTTGACCTTTACACAGACCTGACTGAGGTTAGGAACCACTGAGCAGTCAGTCACAGCCATCTCTCTAGGGGTCCTTCCCATCAGCCTCACTGTGTCCCTATGTATGACTGGGGGGAAGGCTGTGTTGGTGTCTCTGAGGCCATCTGATGGCAGTAGAGCCCTGCACTTGACAAATGACTCGTCCTAGAAGCATCAATCATATTTTCCTCCCCAGCTAAACCACCGGCTTTTGGGGTGCGCTAAAATATGCCTATAAGCGTAACACAGTGGAGGCTAAGACTGGTGGACTGCTTCAAGATCCATGCCAACCTGGGCTACAGTGAGACCTCATCTCAAAAATGAAATGTCAGGCGTGATGACACACACCGTTAGTCCCAGCACAGAGGGGGCAGACTGACAGCTATGAGCTCAAGGCCAGCCTGGTCTATACAGTGAGTTTCAGGTCACTCAAAGACCCTGTCTCAGAAAACAAAATAGCCCCTAAAATCACAGGCTTATAAGACCTTTTCCTCTGGTAAGGGGCAGGGTCAGAGGTAGAATTCCCTACTCCAGAGTGGGTTCCTTGTTTTTCCTTTATTTCCTCTACTGCTCCCCAGCCTTTATTTGTATATTTTATTTCACAGGACAATAAATTTTTTTCTTTTGCCAACAATCTGGGGTAGGTATGTTACTACTGGGGCTCATCTGTGCATGGAAGCCGAGGTGAATGCGAGAACGAGTCTGCAGCAGCTCATTCTCATGTGGTGTCTCCCTTAGCCCTTCTGCACAGTGTTTCCTACGGCAGCCCCAGCCTCCATGTTGGTGAACACAAGTGGCTGAGCTATCTCTGAAATGACTCAGCCTGGTTCTGGCTGTAATCCTGCCAGTAAAGGCCTGTCCCCTATAGGCATGAGGGGACAACTCTGATGTATGACTGATGGCTCTGGAGCCTTGACCAGGAAGTCGCTTCCTCAAGCTTTGCATCCTAGTCCACTATGGCATCCCTGGCTGGGCCTCAGCGCTTTGTTAGGGAAATTGAGGGTGGTGGTGGAGAACCACAATGAAGCCTACTGTCTCTGTCCCCTCTAAGAGGAAACAAAAGGTCCCCAGTCTCTGCAGAGCCCTGGCTCATGCCCACCCGTTAATGCCCAGCACATAGGGAGGAGCCGGGGCCAATGGAGACAGGAGGTTTTATTGATGCTGATGGGGTAGGAAAGGCCCCCAGGAGCATGGGGCCTGAGTCAGTCAGCAGACGCATGAGGCCTGGGCACATGGGGCAGGTTAGGGCATTTTTCTTCTCAGGGTTCTGTGGCTCCTCCTTTGTTGGGGGGATGTCTTGGAGTGCCTACTCCAAGAGCAAAGGCAGAGGTTAGAGCCCCTAACCTGAGAAGAGACACCACAACAGGCAGCAACTCTGTGGAAAGCTGGATGAACTGGTCAGTAGCAGGAAATGGAGGGAAGCACTGGGCTGGCCTCTTGGAAGGGTCAACCCGGCTTAGGTGAACTCATGGAATACTTGATATTCCCAAGCAGAGTGGGGCAGGGCCCAAAGCCCCTTTCCCCGTGTACCTCCTTAAGGAATAAAAGGCAATCAGGGAGTCCCCTGGCAAGGGGTGCCAGAATTAGTCCTTAAGGCACAGCTGGGGGGCAGACAAGGCGCCAAGGCACAACTGGTGGGGGGACAAGGGGTAGCCTCCAAGCTGAATGCCAGGGTCACAAGAGGATGCAGGACCGCCCACGCTTTATCGGTGTTGGGTTGAGCACTGCCCGGACAGCCTCTGCAAACACCTCCTTGACGCCGTCCTGCTGCAGCGCCGAGCACTCAAGGTAGCGCACAGCATGGATCTGCTTGGCCAGTGCCTGGCCCTGCTGCGGTGTGATGGGTGCTTGACCCTGCTCCTTGAGGCGCCGTAGGGTATCAGGCTGGGCTCTCAGGTCCTTCTTGGTGCCCACCAGGAGGATAGGGACATCGGGGCAGTGGTGACACACCTCTGGATGCCACTTGTGCCTCACATTTTCATAGGAGGGTGGACTGGCAATGGAGAAACAGATGACAAAGACGTTGGTCTGAGGGTAGGAAAGGGTGCGCAGGCGGTCATATTCCTCCTGGCCCGCAGTGTCCCACAGGTTCAGGTTCACTGTGCGCCCATCAACTGCACTCTGGGCGCTGTAATTGTCGAACACAGTGGGGATGTATTCCTTGGGGAAGGCATTAGTCGTGTAGCAGATGAGAAGGCATGTCTTGCCCACGGCCCCATCACCCACCACCACACACTTGATGCTCTGCATTGTGTATAAAGCTGTGGGAGTGGAGGCACTGCCTCCTCCCTCTTCTGGACCCCACTGGAAGTAGTGACCTATGGAGAGATGAGAGGGACATTCTTGATTTAGGAGACCTATACCTACTGAAAAGAAAAGATGAAGATATACAGAGAAAAAACACTTCTTCTTCTTCTTTTTTTTTTTTTGGTTTTTCGAGACAGGGTTTCTCTGTGGTTTTGGTTCCTGTCCTGGAACTAGCTCTTGTAGACCAGGCTGTTCTCGAACTCACAGAGATCCGCCTGCCTCTGCCTCCCAAGTGCTGGGATTAAAGGCGTGCGCCACCACCGCCCGGCGAAAAAACACTTCTTGTTCAGTTATCTTGACATCATCCCCAAATCTCATCAAGACAAACATTAGAAACAAAGAGAGGGACTGAGCAAGATGCTGCAAAGCCGTAGCCCTTCTATGAGCTCTAGTACCAGCCTAGTCCAACTGCTATTTCTAGCAATGACAATGGACAAACCTCTCCTCTAAACAAACCTCAGTTTTCTTATCTGCAAAATGGAGATAATATTGACTTACTGTATGGATTAATTATTACATTTAAAGCACTGAGGACAGTGCCTGGTTAACTACTACTAGCTATTTTTATTCTTCCTTGATACAAGGATCAGCTAGATCATCTACTACATATGGACTCCTCACTAGTCTGATCTCCCAATATTTGCTCCAGAGCCTCAAAAATTAAAGCCAATATGCATGATGGTAGTGGGGGATGCCTTGTTGGGAAGTAGAAAGGGAACTTGGTGCTGTGGGCTGCAGTGGACTCAAGCACTGGCTGGTTCTCTCCCAGGCTGCAGCTTCTTCTATCCCAGCTGTGAGGAAGTGATATTTCCTGATGAGGCTACTTCTCTCGTTGCTGTTAAAAGGATTCCCATCTGCTCTGTATGAGTGCATGTTCAACCTTCAGATATTCAGACAGACCCTCAGAGTGGATAGCAGCGTGAATAAAGAGAACCAGAGAATAAGTTCTACCTCAGTTCTCTGACTCACTGCAGCTGACACTTATCCCCTCTGGGTCTCAGGTTTTCTTTTTAGGAAATGAAGGTAAAATGGCGGCTGGAGAGATGGCTCAACAGTAGGAGCAACTACTGCTTTGAAGACCTGAGTTCAGTTCCCAGCCCTGCTTTAAACACTCCACAATTGCCTCTAGCTCCAGATCTAGGGTCCCTTTGGCCTCTGAGGGAACCAGCACTCATACAAAAACACACATACCCGCATACGTACACACAGCCATGTGTGGTGTGTTTACCTATATTCAAGCACTCAGGCAGGAGGATTATGGTAAGTTTGAGGCCAACCTAGTCTACCTAGTGAGTTCTGGTCCAGCCAAAGATATATAGTAAAGCCCTGTCTCAAAACAAAGACAAAGACTCAGGCTTAAGGAGGAAAACATTGCATGTTTTCTCTCACATGTAAAATCTAAATATAGATCAGATTTAAATATGTGTGCGTGTGTGTGACATGAAAGCAGAAGGGGAACTATTTGGGAAGAGGAAGGACATCAGTGTGGAGAGAAGAGGGTGATTATGAGGAGAGTATAATGATAAATATGATACATACATAGGAAAATGATAATATGATATATAGGATACTACATAGGAAACTTCATAATGAAATCTATTTTCTTATTATAGTAACTTAAAAAAAAAAAACTAAAAGCCTCAGGGGCAGGGGTTATTAGTTGTGTCCACCGCATTATTTGACTCCTGGCATTTCACAGTAGAACTGGGCCCGAAATCTTAAGATCAACACAGAAAGGGACTAAGCAGCAGTAAGAGTAAGACCCCTCACAGGAGGTGGTGGAGCCACGCCTTGAGTCCCAGGACAAAATCACACAGAGAAATCCTGTCTTAAAAAAAAACAAAACACAAAGACTAACACACCTCCTGCCCCAAGCCCAGCAGTGAACCTACACAGGCAGGAGGGCAAGGAGGGTGTTCTGGCTAGCAGTCCCGAGGCCCATGAGACTGAAAGTACAACAGGCCCTCTAGGGAGGTGCTTTTCAACCAGCAAATCAGTAAATCAGTCCTCAAAGGAGTGGGGCTGGCCAAGGAAGAGGGCCTGCCATGGGAAAAGGGCTATGAATGAGTGTCCACAACAAGGTGTGGCACACCTCTGACCTGCTGGGCTCACCTGCTGACCTCAACCCTCAATGAAACACCTCCATATGGTACAAGTCTTTACAGGGAGCATGGCAGGTGTTATTCGATTCTCCTCCTGACTGGGAGGACCTTATTTTACGAAGTCAGAAACCAAGCCCAGAGCTGTTAAAGTCATCCAGCTATGTTGAGTTTGGGAGCCAGGACACAAACTCAGTTCTGTGATCCAAAGTCCTAAGTTTTCTTCATTGTATCTCATGGCTCGCAGATAACTGTGGGGCCTTGAACAAATTAGTCATTTCCTTAACCATAGCCTCAGTTTCTTCGTCTGGATAGCAAGAGTCATGACAGTTGCCTTCCTGGCCTCATGGGGGACACAGCATGACCGCAAATATACTTTTGTGTGCCATGCACATGGCAGTGACAAAAGCCAAGTGTTGGCCAGTTCTCCCTGTGAGAATAACTTACTCTCGCAGTTCAAGCCTTCATCCTCTCCCAACAGAACTCTCCTCTCTTTCCCTTGCTTTTAGCTGTACTATCTTTACTGTTGCTGTTAGCGCCACTGAGCTTTGGCTCTGGACTGGCACCCTACCGTGACGTCCTAGCTCCAGCCCTCCGGCAGGTCTTCCCCTGAGATTCTATGACTGGAGCGGGTCACATGAGTTTCCTTACCTACGAGACTACACGCCATAGGCTTATCTCACTTATGTCAAATTGAAGGAAAGATTGGCTGTGGGAGGCCAATATGTACAATTAGATTTTGATTATGACTTTAAAAAAAATCTTTGCTGGAAATGTGGCTCAGTGACATTGCACTTGCCTCACATATGTAAAGGTCCAGCTTCAATCTCCAGAATTCTACTTCTTAGTAATAAATATAATTAAAAAAAACAAACTTGGTTTAGTAAATAAATTGATGTTTGAAGATCTATATATAAGCAAATGACAACAACTTGTTCTAGGTTTTTATACCCAACTTATTCAGATTATGTCTGGACTCCGTCATCAAAGTTGATCACAATATAAGAGGGGTTTTAGAGTCGTACAGACCTGGATTTAGGATGAACTGCCTCTGTAATCTTCAGTTTCCTTATCTCTAATTCAGCCACAACAGCAGTTCTCACAGGGTTGCTATATAGTTTAAATGTGTTAATATACAATATCTACATGATATAGTGAGTTCCTGGCTCCTCCTCCAAAAGGGTCTACAATGTTGTCTATAAAGCCAATCTCGGGGGCTGGAGAAGTGGTTAAGAGCTTTGCCTGCTCTTCCAAAGGTCCTGAGTTCAATTCCCAGCAACCACGTGTGCTCACAACCATCTGTAGTGAGATTTGGTGCCCTCTTCTGGCCTGCAGGGATACATGCAGGCAGAACACTGTACATAATAAATAAATCTTAAAAAGAAAAAGTCAATCTCAGTCATTCTTTTCCACTGCTCCCCTTTTTTGAGACAGGGTTTCATTGTGCGGCTCGCCTGGAACTCAAGGCAAAGAACAGGTTGGCCTTGAACTCACAAATATCCTCTGCCTCCGGAGTGCTGAGATTAAAGGTGTGTTCCGTGACACCAGGGAGTCCTTTCTTCTCTCTCACATTTTTGTTTGTTTTTGTTTTTCGAGACAGACAGGGTTTCTGTAGCTTTGGAGCCTGTCCTGGAACTAGCTCTTGTAGACCAGGCTGGCCCCAGACTCACAAAGATCCGCCTGCCTCTGCTGGGATTAAAGGCGTGCGCCACCACTGCCTGGCCTATGTCATATTTTATGCTTACTTTTCTTTCTGCTGCTATTCCCTTTCCCCCTCAAATCTTCCTGAATCTTCAAGGCCTAGCCTAAATCTCATGAGGTCATAAAGCTACTAAATTATTTGCATTTCCATAGTATGGTTACTCCTTTTAACTCTGCTTTGGCTCCATACAAATCTTCTCTATACATAAATAACTATCCCTTAAATAGCAGGCTGGGTTTCTGTCAACTCAACCACAGAAAAGCTTTGAGAATAGGGCTAGATACACAGAAAAATACAGCCACTGCCTTTTGATGTGCTGAGCCAGCCCTTATCATGAAGATAATAGGATGGACCCCTCTCCTCTCAACCTGCCCCAGCCAACAATACTACAATGCTGAGTTGTAGTGGAGAATAATGACAGTCCCCCCAAAAGGCTAATCCGTTTGAAATGGCTCTAGAAGGGTTAGTATAGGAATACAGTTCATGGGGCAGGAGGATGGAGCCTATTAGGGTGAGTATGATTGCATCCAGTGGGCCAGGGCCTTGGGGTGTGTTCCAGGCAGGCCCAGAACGGAGAGGAAAAGGAAGTACTGATGTTTGCCTGATTGCCTGATCTCTGTGGCAGTTAGAGCAGGGGAAGTGTCCCAACTGGGAGTGGGGGAGGGGAAGCATGGGCTCTAAAAGATCTGTACTGTGTAATCCTACAGCCTTCTAAGCCACCTCTCTAACACAAAGCTCTCAGTATTTTGAAACTCTCCCTACTGATAACACACATTTCAAACCTTACCTCTGACTACACTACCCTGTCCTTTCATAGTGGCCTCCACAGTCTCTACCCCCAAAACACAAGCAGTACTAAAGCAGGGTCAGGCACTACTTCCACCTCCTCCAAGAATGTTTCTTTACAAGCTACATGGTGGTGGCTGTGGCGGTGGTGGCGCTCCCCTTAAAACCAGCACTTGGGAAGCAGAGGCAGGCAGCTCTCTGAGTTTGAGGTCAGCCTGGTCTACAGAGCAAGTTCTAGGACAGCCAGGGTGACAGGAAAACCCCTGTCTTGAAAAACTCAAACAACAAAACAAAAACAAAACAACAAAAGTAAAAATAAAAATAAACTATCTATATAACCCAAGTCACAAGTGACTTCACTGACCCAACAACTAGTCCCTGTCTATTTCAAACAGAGGCTGATCAGAATCTTATCTCTAGTCCC